GCAAGAGCTACTCTTATACAAGTGAGGAATTTAATTAACTGATCGTACATGTACATGATGAAACATGAGGTTTACTGACCTTGCTTCCTCTGCCTCTTGTATTTCTGATCTCTCTTTATCTCTTAACTCTTTCATTGTCTCTCTATTGTCTCTAAATAATTATAAACAGTAAGAGGTGTATGTAAGTGTGTGTGTGTTCATTAGTACTTGTAATATATGACATATCCATCACCATATAGTCCTAATGAGTATGGTATGTCTGAACTGATGGAATACCATTCCAACTTATTCTCAATATCAAGACATGGTATCTCAACTGGAAATGATCTTCCCTAATAGAGTCAGAGAGAGAGAGTATCTTTAAAATGTTTTAATGATTAACCTCTGTACAATAGATATACTCAACAGGAACTCCACTTAACTCCGAAAGCTGTGAAAACAATCATAATGTGATACTGACACATGTTCCTTATTATAAATAATACCTTTCCAATAACATATTTAGGATCATCATTATAATGCAACATGTGTATATCCAGTATAATTTCTTCTATTGGATCAACTGAACATTGTGATGGACGCCATCTTATAACATACACCTGTGTCTGTGTTACATCCTTCTTCTTCTCTGGTCCTAACAAAATAATACACTAGCTAACATTAAACTTACTATAAAATGCATCTAGTATGTACAGTACAATATACTGAAAATATAACTGAGATATGTTACAAAAGTAAAGATCAATGACAGTTTTTATAACAAAAGGACAACTATGATAAAGACAAAGACTGAACTCAGGAATATCCACCCACATTGATAACAATTATAATAATACACTATACACATTAATACTAAAGGCCTCCATACACTAGACAACATGTTGCTAGCAACATTTGTGGTTACTTTGATCTTGTAAGCAACATGTTGCCTAGTGTATGGAGACCTTAACACATACAGCAGATATACTGACCTGTCAATGGTTCCACATACATTTCACTAGTAGTATCAATCGACTCATCATCAAAATATACTCTACCAGGGGACACTCCTATCTTGGCACGTAATCTCATTCTACACAATAAGTCACATGACAGTCACATGATGTACACCATATAGTTTATGAGTATAAAATCTTGTGATTTGGCTGCATTTCTGTCTTTGCAAATTAAAATTTCACAATTTTAATGCAATTATGACACGTACTACAATCATGACATTATTTTGTAGATTTTAACTTTACAAATTTTTGCAAACATAAAATTTGCAAAATTTAATCCCCACAAATATATGGCATATACGGTATTTACTTTTCTAATTCAAGGACACAGTCAATTCCTTGTACTTTTGCTTCTTCAATAATTTGTTCCTTAAATTCTCTCACTGATATATTCTTAGCAACAATAGACTCCATCATAAAATTACAAAACTAAAAACAAAAAATCAATACAAATTATAATAATGAAATATTCTTATACCGCTGTATTGTTAACTTGTAATAAATATAATTTAACTCTGAACTCTCCTCTTCTTAATGCTCTACCCAGTCTTACTATCAACTAGTAGTATAAACAATTATGAAGTTAATCAAAATAACACACATACATGTACCTTTGATCCAGATTTTAATATCTCATCCAGTCTCTCCATTTCATATTCTTCATTATTATCTCTAATTTCATACACTATAAAACCAGTAGATGGTGCACCAATCAGTGGAACTAGCTCCTCCTTCAATTGAGCTAATGTTATTCTCTTATCAACTTGTACCTGCATGTCTGTATTAAATAATAAATGATTAATTAAACACTGTATAGCTAGAAATATTTGCTGAAATTTAATTTTGCTATTGCTGTTAATTACAAAAATGCACAATTTAATTCCAGAAAGCAATGATGTGTGTATCGTATAAAAGCTCACACTTACACCAGCAAAATTAAATTCTACATACTGTAGGGCACTCTTTTTTCAAGGGCTATAAATTTCAAACTCCTTTTTTAGTGAAAGTAAATTTCACAAATCATACCTCCCTCACACCCTTTAACTGACACAATTGCTCTCTGAGGTACATGATTTGACAGAGGACAAGCAGAGTTTGGAAAAAGCCATAAACATCAACTCTATCGTTCCAAAAACATCATCTTTATTTTAAAATAGAGATGGGATGAATGTAAAATTTAGCAAAAATGAACATAACGTTCGCACCATGGAATTAGATTCTTATTATCAATTAGTTTGTTGCTTAGATCACTTTAATTAAATGCAGGACACTACACATAGGTGTATAGCTCAATGACTAATGATTTATACATGTACATCAAAAATCTTATTACTAAATAAGTTATGTATGTCACTGATTAGTAGGTGTGTCAGTAGGTGTGGTACATACCACACCTACTGATCCACCTACTTAGTATACATCCGCATGCCTGCATCTGCAGCACTCAATGTTCTTCTTAACAAACGAACATTCAAAATGTTCCAACATTTGTCCCAGCCTGACTTTAAAATGCCCTAGCGCTAGCTATAACATGTTGACACACCCCCTTTGCAATTATAATCTTTTACTCCAGGCCACAATATTCACGTTTTCAGGGAAAATCTGCAAAATTCACAAAATATAGAGCCCTCAACCCTATATATACATTAAATTTTGCTTGTTAGCACAAAATTGCAATATAGTACAAGTTAATATTTTATTATTACTTCTTTCTTTTCCTTTATTTTCCATTGATATAATTTTCATTATTATTCCTCCTTCAGTTACATTAGTTGTAGTGGGTATGACTTCAGGTCCAGGAGGTATTGTAATGTTCAGTAGTATTGAGTTGAAGTGAAAATCAATATATTTGTACATCAAACTATCTTTGTGATCTTTTTTATAATCTTCAGGATCTGATGATACATACACTAACTAAAAGAAAACAGTGTGTGTGTGTGTGTGTGTAAATTCAATGAAGAGAAGAATAAAGGAGTACAAATAAAAGAAAGTGAGAAAATAATTCTAAATCATGATAGGTTGATGATAGCTACAGTATGAAATATTGGTAGTGAATTAATATTGATGAATTCAAATAGCATTTAGAATGTACATGGAAAATTTCTCCGGCAATAAAAAAACAAGCTATATTGTAATTTTTGGTTTATTTGCATACACATATGGCTAGCTTTATCTAAAACTAATGGTATTTCTTGGAGAAATCACAAATAAAACTCTCATCAAAATATTCCATTACAGTATTAATGTCAGTACTTGTCTGTTTTTGTATGTTGACTTTCTGAATATCTTGTCTAAAGTACATCCTACATCACTAATATCAATAACTTCACCATAGTAATTCTTGATTACTAATCTCATACATGATGAATTGAGATTATAAGCCTAGAGAAAATGGACCAAATCAATAAGGAAGGAGAACGATAATTATAATAACAATACATGTATATTATGTTATTACTTCTCCTATATGTTGTTTGAATTCTCCAACAGTCCAATCTCCTTCAACTCTCACTGGTTTAGCTGGTCCAACTTCGCAAGTTGACAGATCAACCACTGATATCAATAGATTATTACCTACAAGTACCGTATAGCACAAAATTTTTGAGAGCATAAAATTTTTGAGGGCTGTAAATTTCGCAGATTTCACGATTTTTTGAAGAATCGCAAAAATTACTTCCATGAAAATCAAAATTATTAGGGCACAAGATGGTGGACGATATAAATTTGCAAAAATTAAATACATAAAATAGATTTTTAGGCAAATTTGCGAAATTTACAGCCCTCTAAAATCTTGCGCTATACAGTACAGCACAAAACACATGTACATGTAAATGTAATTAGAGGTACATGTATTGTCATATGTTGCAACTCACTTCCATCATGGTATTTATTGAAAATTTTATTTTCTTCACGGGTTTCTATGAATAATCCAAAAGGATAATAAAGCCTAGTCCCACCAGCAATCTGTCCAATAGTTTGATGCTGAAACTAAAAATCACAATAACAACAGGATACACAAAACTTAATTATACCTCATCCAGGTCAAAGGACTGTTCCATTAGATGATATACATAATCATATTTAACTAAACGACATCTCTCAATAGGAATATGAGGAGTTAATTTCATTAACTGATTAAGGAATGAGGAAAATAGAAATGAAAAAATGAAAAAATAAATAAAAATTAACTTTAAATAATAAACCTCATAAGCTTTATCCAGTACT